TTCAGGTATACCAAGGTGTCAAGGTTATTGTAGAGAACTTTATCTCCTCATACTTGTCAATCTAAGATGTGTTAAGCCACCTTACATGGTCTCCATAAATCAAATTACTAAGCACTTCTTCTCCTTGAATGTACAGCCTATATTTCTCTAAACATACATTGATGATGATATGTAGCTCAAATGCGGAAATCAAGAAATGCTCTTACGCTCATACGTTCTTAACTAATGCTATAAATCTAACCCTCTTTAGTAATATTGCTGATAAAACATGTTCAAGAATGATGTCATAAAATGTTAATGTACAGCCTACTGCTAAGTTAATGGCAGTGGGTGAGCACAACATTTATTTCTTGGTACAAGTATTCCTTGACAGCCCCTATTTCATTTATTTATCACTTTCTTCTTTTGACTCCTTTCTTTGCCAATTTCTGTTTTTTTCTTTTTTCTTTCTAAACTTATTTTTTCTTCCCTCTCTCTCTCTCTCTTTTCTTTTTCTTTAAACTAATCTCCTGTCTCTCTCATCAATATTTCCTCTATTAACACCTTGCTTTTTCCACACATTATAAATTCTCTTCTTTATTTATTAAATTCTAAGTTTTCCTTCCCCTATTTCATTTCCTTGTTCCTTTTCATTTTATAATATTTTGTTTACATCTTTCTCTTTCTCTCTCTCTTTATCTTATACTCTTCATCTCTCACTATTTGTATCTCCCTTCTTCACTTCTTAATGATCTAAACAATAAAGAACAGAAGCATACTAAAATGATCTTTCAGAGCATGGGAGTGATGTTCTTTCACAATTACCTCACTACAATTACCTCACTACTCTAAACAGGGCAAAAAATATGAATCTGATACTTGTTAGATCTCAAAAGAAGATGTATCGGCTTTCATCTTCGCTAAAATTCTGTTCCAATGATGTACTGTACTCTTTGCCAGTTCTGAGCCGTGCGTCATATGCTAACTTAATGCTGGTCACTGTCCAGAAATATAACCAATCAAATTAAACCACCCAGACAAAAAGTCAACTTTCTCTCTAACATTCCCAACATATTAAAGCATATAAATGTATTAGGGTACAGTCACTCATAAACTCCCACACATGGTAGATTATGCTCCACTAACGAATCCACCCAATGAAATATCACTTCTTCATGCCACTTATTTAATAAAAATATATAAAGTGCTTAATTTCAAAATCAGATTACACTTAAATGAATTACATTGATTATTCAATTCAGTACTATGGAGAATGCACTTTACATTTACAAAACTTAAATTTGATAACCAAAATGTAAAGTATCATTCAACCTTCTTCTTAATTGAAATTTGTGCAAAGAGCCATGACATCTGAATACATGTACATGTATGAAAACTGTTAAGTATATATTAAGGAAGATTTCTTGATTTTGTTCTTCTGTTTTCCATGTCCATTTGCTATACACATTGATTATTTCTATTTCAACAAAAGTCATTTTAAACAGATCTTTACAATGTTACCAGGAGGTTCATAACAAATTAAAACATCAGAAATATGTCCTTCATTCTTGGAGAAGCATATTTCCTTCATTCTTGGAGAAGAATATCATAGGATTTGTGGAATACAGTTAACTTGCCTCCAATGCGGTATGTAATAAAATGATTTAATTCACAATAGAAAGTATAAATATAAATGATGATGATTTGTGCACACTGCACATGGACTCACTTTTTTTTTATATTAACATCCCTTATAAAGTAAATCATTAACTGTGCAATATTGACCTATGAAATAAACACATACTCCAAAAGGGCATATAGCTGACTGAGTTTCCTCTTTGTATTTGTACAGAATATGATGAATAAATTATAAAAGAAGGGCGAAAAAAGTGTAAACTTGGTCTAATTAATCAACAACTGTTTGAATTTATATTTCAAGGCAGAATTTTGTTGGGTAGCATTGTCAAAATTATTTCCAGCCAACCTTCTTCTTTAGTTGAGGATTTTTTTTCTTCTTTCTTTCATGTGTTTATTCATGTTTTAGTTCGGGTTTCCTGCTGAGGGTACCTTCAAATCACTAACACTTTCAATCATTCAAATAAAGTATACCAACAAGTACAGTCACTGCACTTACTGCAACAAGTTGGAAACTGAGGGATGCAAAATATTGTTATGTAAAAAAAAAAAAAAAATGTGCTTCTACTTTTACTTGATATAGATGAGAGAATAGCTTGCTACAAGTATAGAGATTAGATTTCATCCAAACAGAGCTAAAGGAAGAGGTACCCGTAGATTCTTGTTGAGAGCTGCTATGAGCAAGGATGGCATAATTTGATTTCTCCTCCAGTGCTGACATTCAAGTCACATTCTTGTACAAAATGATAATTTGATTCGGAGCTGAGCAAACATGTCAGTCTCAAAAGCATGCATTTAGACGGACTTCTTCGTTTCGCCACATTGCCAGCAAATTCAGTTGTCAGTCTCAAAAGCATGCATTTAGACGGACTTCTTCGTTTCGCCACATTGCCAGCAAATTCAGTTGTCAGTCTCAAAAGCATGCATTTAGACGGACTTCTTCGTTTCGCCACATTGCCAGCAAATTCAGTTGTCAGTCTCAAAAGCATGCATTTAAACGGACTTCTTCGTTTCGCCACATTGCCAGCAAATTCAGTTGTCATCACCATAGAAATTACGATTGCAAAAATTTGCGTTCCTTTTAAGTGCAGCAAGAAGGTAATTACAATATGGCTAATTCAGTTTTAAAAATAATAAAAATAATAATAATATGCATACCTATTTGTTACTCTGTGATACAGTACAAGATTCATGACCGACATGATAAATGTAATGCATAATAAACAATTTAAATATATTTTAAATTCTATAGTAAAAAGTATGTGAAAATTCTAACTCGTAACTTTTTTCTCTCACCTTTTAAAATTTCTCTCTTGCTTTCATTTAGGCATAGGTAAATATCTAATTTACATTTCATTGTATTTTCTTGGTCATGTATTTGCTTTCCTTTCAGGACAGGATTTATTTGAAGTGTACACGACTACCTAATTACAAGCTTATGCACAGCCTTATGTGAACAGAGCTTTCCTTACTGACCACTCCTTCTCATTCAGCCTCCCAATCATATCTCCTCTCATGTCCACATCTTCATTTCAGTCATAAATGTCTATCCTCTCATTCACCACTAAACTACCCCCCTCATAAAAATTATACCCGGGTGTCAATAAATATCCACAAATTTAGCTGCACCTCCACGATATACCAGCAGGTATCTTGCGCTTCTGTGAAGATCGATCGCACGCAGTGACATTTATGAAGATTGCTATCAATGTTTACATTTCCTGAAAATTGTCAATAAAAAAACCTGCTTGTTGAGATTGGGAGAAGTACTGCACCTTTTGACAAAAATTCATGCTTTTTTTTTCACAATGTGAAATACTGATGGGAATTTCTAAGGAAACAGCTCTGCTTGGGTCTGCATGGGTCAGTATTAAAATTAAAGATATTGTCAGTTTATTAAACCGATTTCATTCTTTTATTAAATGAATAAATATTTAAAAGTGTGCCCATCTAAAATTAATAATGGGTTTTTATATACGTTGCATATAATTCCCCGCCCCCTCCAAAAAAAAAAAAAACACCCCATGAGGTATGAAAGTTTGATTTTCAGAATCCACATGAACAGCTTATAAACAATATACAGTTTCATACTGCAAATTCATCTTGATTTTCATTTCAGCATTAAACATAGAGATTCCATAGAAAGTTGAAAAAACAAAATTCATAACCGATTTCCTTTTTTAACAATCGCCATGATTTTAACTTTGAAGATCAAAAATTTATTAATGATTTCAAGAAAAAAGTGAGAAATAGCACTGATATTTACAAAGCATTCTAGATTGCACCTTACAATCACTAAACAGCAAGCACTTTCACAAACAAAGACAAGCCAACAAAAAACTACACTCAGAACTACGTGACCAATCAAGTTTAACTTGTGGTCCCACATATTCACTATTGTGTCGAGTGTTTGCTCAATGCAGGCACCCACTACACTGGCTAAACAGACCCAGAGTCATGAGCCAAGCTTTGTAGCCTCCACACGCTCTCTATTTGATCAGTGTTTGTTCTGGCTACATAAGCCCATTACAGAGTATTTCCTCAACTCCTTTCCAAAGCAAATTTCATCACCATGATGCTATTTGGTGAGCAAATCTCAGTCATTTTGAAGGAAACATATTGCACCTCTCATGGAACAATCTTGGTGACTATGCTTGCAGTTTGGAAAAATGATTTTTGTACTAATGTAAATGCCAAATCGAAATTTATATCAAAAGAAAAGAGAATGAATATCTATTACAAAATCCTAAATATACTTATTAAATTACAACTTAAATGTCCCTTTAATAAAAACTGGCAAAATCCAGAAACATGATGGATTAAAGGTTTAGAATGGAAGGATGGCCACTCCACCTACCAGTAACTTCCTGACAGATTCTACGATATTGGGAGTTAAAGTAAAATATTCCCAAACATATTATTCATGAAATACGCTAAGAACCCCTTTCTTCATCATAACCTTTTTCTACATTCAATAGCTTACAGATTCTAATTAGCTCTTTGAGAATTAATTAGTAACTCTACAGGAGAGTTCCCACATAAAATAATAATTGGCTGGGCTCCCAGACATGACTGAAAGTTGTTTACCAATCAGCTATCCAACTTCTCAAATCATTGGGTTCCTCGAAACATGAACACTACACAAGAGCCTTCTATTTCTAAAATGGTTTTAACCAGAGTTAATTCCTTATTTCTTCTGTGAACCATATTTACACTTCACATGCATGTTTTTTTTTACATACCATTCCATGTCTAGATGGTTGGTGATATTACATCTTGAAAACTGCCATGGTGGATATAAAAATGCTATATGACTCCACCTGCCATGTGAAATACAACAAAAGGTATTACAAGAATAAAAGCAAACATTGGATAGGTGAACATACCTTCGGTGCAATACCCTTTCGTACATCATTGATCTGGGATAATTCTAACACCTGCCCCTCCTGAAAGAAAAAAAAGGAGAAATGAGAAGAAGTTATCATCATGTTCATGGTGACTTCATCTTAATTAAAATAATATGCAATGAGAAACCGACTGATGGTCTCTCATGTGCAAGATATTGACCTTTACCTCACCTACAGTACTTCCCCCCCCCCTTCTCTCACTCTCTCTTTTTTTAAAACTCTCTCTCCCTCTCTCTCTCTCTCTCTCTCTCTCTCTCTTTAAACTCCCTCTCCCTCTGGAAATTCAACAATATACTACATTTCGTTAATACATAGAAGGTACAAATGAATGTTAGTTTTATTATATGAATGTTGTTTTTTTTTTTTTTTCATATCAAGGCTTGCAGCTTATCTCCAACACATAACAAGACAGCAATGTATCATTTAGGATTTTGAAGAAAAAAATCCTGAAGACTGAATGGTAATCTTGCGAGAGGTGAATGCAGTTAAAGATATGCGAACTCATCCCAGAGAGAGAGAAATTATATTTAACCCATTTGCTTCTGAATTATCTCATTTCCATATAGGCTTTGATACAGGAGCATCTTGATTCCCGTATGCAATAGATTTAAGTTAATGACGTTTGTAGTAATTTCTCGATAATTTTGAAACAAAAAATGCTTCTGAAAGCAACATAAATCTTTAGAAATTTGTGCCACACAATGTAACTATATATCCGCTTTTGTTCTTCTACACTGTACATGTTTTGTCCCATCTTGTATATACATCAAAATCACACCCTTTGAATTTCTCCCTGTTAAAAATTTAATTCTGAAGGATGGATGGTCATACCCATGCCTGGTCATTATGTTAATTATTATGTTGATTAATAGCACCACGGCTGTCCTTCGGTGCTATTGCTCAGCTGCTTCATGTCCAATAATGATGAAGATTAAATATCATGACAGGAGACAGAGGAACCAACGTGGAAACAATGGGGGAGAGAAAGAGAGAGAGAGCGATGTAAAAAGAGAGAGAGAGAGAGAGAGATAGACGAAATGAGAGAGAGAGAGAGAAAGAAAGAAAGAGAGAGAAAAAGATAGAGAGGCGGGGGGGGGGGGTCAGGGAGAGAGAAATATGTTGAAACGATAGAGGGAGAGAATAAGAAGGTACAGACAAGACAAAATAATCAAAGAAAGGCAACTGAAAGGAGAGAGAATTTTTACTTTTTCAGTGAAAACCAACGCTTGAGCAAACAAGAAGACAAGAGGTAGTATTGCTTAGTTTGTATGAATGAGATAGAAGAAAAGTGATCTAAACCAAGTGATATAAGTGACCCAATATGGTCTCCAAGATATTGATAATAAAAAGTATTAAAAACAGTCATCGAATATTACTTCACTCACACCTAAATATTGTAAAGTATAGTATTATCAATGATACAATTCCCTTGTAGATAACAGAAATCTTGGAAAACAGAAAAGGTAGATGATATTCTACATCCTCACAAGCCCTGAATCATCAGTACAAAAGTTCTTATCCACTCTTCACTACTAGGATTGTGTTCTTACTCTTTTATTTTGTTTTAAAACTCTTTTAATATTTCTCCTTATTATCTAAGGATTACCAACACACAATTTACATCCGAATCCATTTTCAGGACTTTATTTAAGACCTTTAATACGTGACAGGGTCTTTAACTGGCCTTAGTATTATGCTGACACTGGCAGTAAATCTTGAGTTGTTATTGAAGTTCTATGAACACCTCGTCAAAACAGATGAAGCAAACAAGTTAGATCTCAAGAGCATTGAGAAAAGAAGAGGTCATTTTGCCAATTAACAGACTGACAAATAACCAACGTGCTGCTCTTTCATCTGTGTCCTATATAATGACCATAATCCAGATAAATGGCCATAGTTTGACCATTACATTGTCCTCGGAATATCCTCTATCAAGGAGAGATGGATTTGGTTGATATTTGTTACTTGCTTGTTCATAATTCCTACCCAATAAAGAAGGCACTTAGTGTTTTGAAGTTAGTCAGCCACTATACAGGCTTAGTTTAATGCAATAATAAGAGTTTGGTCTCCAGTATATACAATCTAGTATGGTATCTTTGAAAGAAGCCATATGACTTTTGGGATACAATGGGAAAAGATGATGTCCCCTTTAAACAATTCGTCGCTGTTTTCACGAAGTGACGGTAGTGAAAAAAAATTGCATTCACTTTGCGTTACGATTTTCCTCACTACCGTCACTTCGTGAAAACAAGGACGAATTATGTCTTTGGTCATATAGACAGGGTCTGCTTTTGAACAATATAAAAACAAGTCCTTGTTTGTAGAAGCTTTCCTAGGATTTGTTTTTGTAAAAGCGAGATTTTCGCAAAAAGCACCCTAATTTTCATGCATCTTTTGTTTTTTTCTACTTTTCCAAAGCTCTTTAGGTGCTCTCTAGAGCTTATTATTCTCTGCTCCTAACTTTTTCTTCACTGATGGCTTATTACCATGGGCAAGTGATTACACTGCATAACTTAAAGGGTCATCTTAATATCATTACGGCTTTCTCAATCTCATTAGCTGCTATAAAAAAAATAATAGAAAACAAAGTACAGCTGATGTTTTTCAGATATTTTTCTTCCATTTTCCTTTTTTCCCCGTTTTAAAATGTTTTCATGTGGACGAGTCTTTGTGGTTTCTAAGTCTAATTATTGAGCTGGTCTGAAATTATTCTTCTTTTTCTTTTATATCAAATAGTGTTTTTAGAGGTAAATCCAACCTTGATAGCAATCTCCTAGAAAGCAGAGAAATCAGAGAAGTACAGGTAGAATGGTGAATGGTTTAATGGAATTTAAAAAAATATCAGAATGTTGTGATCTTCTAAAAGTTGTAATAATTAAAGGTTATGAGCTGTTCTAATGGGCTGAATGGATAATGTCTCTGTGATGTACATGCAGTGTAATTAAGAGGAAAACAGAAATTAGTGATATTTTGTACACAACAAACAGGAGATATATCAGTGACCACTGACCAAATTGCCCATTTTAAACATTCATAACTTATGATTTATTTAAAAACCTTTGCCATTCTATTCATCTTATTCTTCATCTTATTCTTCAGGGTTGGCTTGCCCATTAATGAGGTCTTTAAGTCACTTAATTTTTCCCCATTGTGTCCAGTGAGTCTGAATCATAACAAAATATCAATACAGAGTATATTATTAGACTTCAGTCATAAAAATTTGAAGAAGAAAAAAAATATATGAGATTTATATACAAGAGTTATTCACATGCTAAAAAAACAGTACCAAACAAGAAGTATACTCTTGAAACCAATAAAAAAGTGACCATAATAAAAGAAAAAGATGTTTAACACATATCACAAAAAGCATATATGAAATATGGTGTATGACATTAATTATAAAATTGACTGCCTCTTAGTAAGACTTGCAACTTGTCTTGAAGCATTTTTGTTTTAAACCAACATAAAAATATCTTTGAAACATGCAAAATTATGAGAAAGGACTGCTCCCTTCCCTGAAATATCACTTTTCACAAAACTGTACTCAAAATCTGCATCAACTACTCTTATACAGTGTTTGATATAGTGTATGTTTATACAGTGAAAATGGACAAATCCACACGATTTCCTTTGAAATCGAGAACAAAAGTAAGGCTGCTGAATGGTAAAGACTAACGTAAACATGACATTGACTTTCATCATACAATAAATATTAAAAAGGTATACAGAATAGGTGTAAAGTTCAAGGATAAAAGGAAGTTGAGTACAGATTGTCAGATTCCGTTGAAAGCTCTAAAATCTCTAGAATCCTTATTGCAAAGCATGAATTGGAATTGCTTTTTGATTGCAAAATCTCAAACCCTTAAAAATATCCTTGACTTTTACCCAAATGCACACCCCCCCCCCCCCTCCCCCTAATGCAAAGGTGGAGATACACTAACCAATAACATTCTCAAAGAAGGAGTACATAGAAATATGCATTTTATCATCTGAAATACATCATCTATCCTGAGCTGAGCTTTATCAATTTTTTCTACTAATATATATGTGAAGGATAATTATCTAGTAAGATCTTGAATCAATGCCTATCTATTTTTTAATATGCTTTTTTTATTAACTTGTTTGAGACGTTTAATTTTTTTTCCAACCATATTATCAATGGATTTCAATAAAAGTTATTTGAGCTCCATATTTAATCCGGTCAAATGTTAAACAGAAGTAAAAATGGTTCATACATAATGCAGCATCTATATGAAGTGCATGTGATAAACATGCCTACCATCAGCTGGTATTATCCACACAACACTGCATATTATAATTCTAGTAAAATCATTCTTTCTCAATAGACTAGCTGAATTCATATGAACAAGCCATTGGATGTATTCTTTGTGTAAAAAGACATTGGCTACTATCTGCAGTAGATATGAGGTTAGTGCAATAACTGAAGAAAGTTATGGAACCTTTGATGTATTCATTTTGTGGACATTACTAAATACTTTGAGTAAACATTGAAAGAGATTGTTGTAAGAGTAGTATCAAAAGAACAACTTCATTTATACAATTTCTCAGTAATCTCAGGTCACAAATTACAGAAAGGATTAGATAGCTTTAAATTCATATAATGTTTAAATAACAATGATGGGTAACTAGACCTAACCATATGCATGCAAATGTCCAAATATAAAACATTCTGATCCATCTACATACACATTCATAATTTGAAGGGAAAAAATTGCTATTCTTCTGTTCTTCTATTGAGGTATTTGACTATACATTACAATAAAAATGAAAGTATTACTGAAATGTAGTCTCTTGCAACCTTTTACGAACCTTTTACGTTTGCAAGCATTCGCCGCTCAGTGAGAAACCCCCTTTATTGCAACTGTAAAATACTATCCCTTGCATCTAAAATGTAGGGCAAGTCAAATGTGAGAAATGCCTTAAGTTGTACCCCATTATCATTTTCTATTGAGCAGTTCCGCACAGATGGCTTAAACAAGATGGCTGCCAGTGAGGAACACAGAATATACCTCTCTCTCTCTCTCTCTCTCTCCCTTTCTCTCTCCCTCTCTCGCTCCAATGTCTTCAACTGGAGCCATGTCAAGGTGTGTCCCATTATTCTACGGAGAGTTTCTACATTGCATACTCATAATACATTTAGCAAAAATGGAAAGGTTCAGATCAATACATGTAAGCATATATGATGTCCATTTTAAATGCAATAGCGATGTGATTTTTTTTTTTTTTTATCAGGATTTTTTATTTGAAAATCCTAATAGAGCAGCAAATCCTTCATAAACTACGAAATGATTTGTGTATGCTTAAAGATGAAGTTGAGTTCTGGTCATGCGATTGCATTGTGAAAGAAACGGTGTGGAACCGACCAGAAAAGGTTGATCATCTAGCATATAAGAATTTGTGTGTATTGCAAGGTTCTGGAATCATCAAACTGATAAGAAATTTGGCCAAGTCTTGGTAAAGTTACAAACGCTGTACAAAGAAAGATGTATATGGGACTACACGAACACGTGGCGTAAAAAGCCGGCCCCCCCCCCCCCCCATTTTTACGATGTTACATGCATACTTAGAATGTGAAGGCATTTGAAGAGCCAGGCTTTTCAGGGAACATGTCTTATCTGATGTTCTTCCACACTTGCATAATAGGAATGAGTAACGCTCACAAATTATTTTTCACCTCTTCCCAGAACTCAACCTTCTCTTTAAAAGAAGAAAATATTTTTAAAATAAATTAATCATCTGAAATGGAAAGTGCTTATAGCAAAGTCCTATATCAAAAATCACAGATAACTTAGAGGAACTATTATCTAAAAGCAATGAGATCTCCCATCATGAAATACTGAATCCATTAACGACAAGAATAAGGTAAAAAAGATACAATATGATAATTACAATGAAGATAATACTTACCCTGCCTTCGCTCTTATAGTAGATGAAAAATCCATATTCATCAACTTTGAAGAGGCAACTCTGTTCAACTGACCCAGAATCCTAAAAAAGACAGAAAGAAAGAGAGGTTTACTTACATATACCAGATACACTAGTAGAAGAGATACTTGCATTTCAATGTTTTGATTGGTGTAGGTAATAAGGAAGGATACATGGTTAAAAGGGGAAAGACATGACATACACATAGATGATATGGTAGGCGAGTATTAAAACAGAGAGAAATAAAGTTAAAAGTGACAGCATTTAAATGTAAAATATAACCTTAATTATCAAGGTATCATTTCACAAAACTGTTACAAGTACAAGTCCACAGACAACACAATGAAATAAATTGTTCTAATGACGTTTTCATGAAATGATGCGCTGATGTACAAAGACAAAATGAACCACATATATTTGGCACCTGAGCTCAACCACACAATATCTATGCAGCAGTACATGAAAAATAAGCTTTTATTGCTACTTTACACATGTATGCATGAGCTATCTCTCTCTCTCTCTCTCTCTCTCTCTCTCTCTCTCTTTCTCCAATTCCAAATAAGTCACATGTTCTGATACAAAATTATATAAGCCCTAATCCTGGGCTCGACACGAACAGGCACCTGGGAGACTTGGGCCCTCATAATCTACATGTACAGGTACATCCAGACTGCCAAAAGGTACAGAAGACAAGGCACTGTACATTGTATGAAACGTACATGTACATGTACATGATAATGGAAACGTGGAAGTGTTGCAATAAGGAACGGAAAGGAAACAGATTTTGTTTTCTTCAATCCAGATTCACATCTAAAGCCTAGTTAAAGGTACAAAACCTGAACAATCTATCCTTGATCTGACTGCTATGAGATGTGGGATGATTAATGAGCAATCAGATATATTAAAGGACACAAATTGCATGACAAAAGGGTACAAGGAAGAACTGGAGCAAATATATTGAAAAGTAATCACAGCAATGCGGTGCAATGCATTACTTCCCGTGTGTCAATACTACCCAGATTATTACAAGCTTGTGTCAAGTTCTGGAAGTAGTCATACTGGTAAGTGATTTGTGCATGATATTGAAATGCTACATGAGACAAGCCTTGGGCAAACTTCAAGTTCTCTAGAATTTTGTTATCACATTCCTGTCAAAATTAACATCTTTTCCCCTCAGAAATGTACGATAGAGAGCATCTTCATCTCCAGCCATCACTCAAGCACAAAGCCTCATTTACACATGATGCTTTAAAATGCCTAGAAGTATGTTCAGGCAAGAAATTAACATGCATCTGTCAAGTTTCTTTAAATCACAAATACATGGGTGAGATATTTTAATATTTGCTGGCTTAGAGTGTGGTACAATATTGCTCGAGCTATGACAATATTGGACAAGTCAAAGACGAGTTTATTGTCTTAGCGAGGGTAATATATTCTTGTATCACACAAAAACAAAGCCATACAATATTACTATTATTATCTATATCAGGCTGACTAGCCAAATCGTCGCTGTTTTCATGAAGTGACGGTAGTGAGGAAAATCGTAACGCAAAGTGAATGCAATTTTTTTTCACTACCGTCACTTTGTGAAAACAGCGACGAAATATCTAAATTTGACTTACTTTGGTAAATATTGCTTCTATATCAATAGTTGAAGTTCCCAGATGACTGAGCAATACGAAAACAATATTGATCAGTCATCCGGATACTGCGCTAAAGATACACTGATTTATTTTACCACTTGGAAGCCTTATATCGATGATAATCACCTATCTTTCTAAAGATTTCTTTAAAATTAAAAACATAGACAAAGACACACAAAAAAAAACATTGTTGCCTAAATCCTATACCTTTGCCCTTTTCCCCCCTCATTCATTCTCAACTTCGTTCTCTTTCTTTTACTTGTTCTACATCCTAATGGATAATTGATCTTTCCTTGTACCATAGCCAGTCATAAAATCAAACAGGAGTTCAAAATAAGGCACTAAAATGGTGATTTACAACCACATGAATCGCTTCATTTCCATGAAAGGTTTCCGGCTTCTCAATAATTGAACACAACTGCCCGGTCTTAATATCCCTCTATTATAACCATGGACCGACAAGCACTTAATATGTCTGTTTCATCTCCCATCTCAACCCATCCCGAGTTTTACACAGGACAAGAGCAATGAACCTGATATCAATCAATGGTTTCAAGTAGTCTGTCAACATTTCATATCCAATATCTCTCATAATCATATATGTAGACACAATGATAATTGTCAAGAGGAAACTCTGTGATTGATCGATATTGCTATTTGTTTAACTCTCCTTATCTCCTCAATTAAAGTTGGTAAATAGGCTTGATTTAGCAAACAATACTGCCAAAAAATCAAACAACGTAGTTCATCAAGTCATATGAAAGACAAAATATATAGTGCATAGATAATATTTCATAATTTCCTCACCCCCCCCCCCCCTTCAAAGGAACAGACTACATGTACATGTAGATGTAAAAATAGTCATAAAATGCCCATTAAATTATTCAGTAATTCTGGCATTCAAAATGTCTGTGTTGTGATATTTTTCTCCCTATCAAATATAACAGTTTCTATGCAGAACATCCTTGAAATCAAAAAGCCATAATATCATGCAAATGGTCAACTCTCTGTAGACCTCATCAAGTCCTATTTATAATGGAATTGGCACAAGCATCAATAATACATTCAGAAACTACCACAAGGGAGTCATTGCCTCCACTAATTCACCATTTGGCCTCAATTTATTTATTCAACATGCACCTAAAGAACATCACGTCTTTTGCTTGATATCTCATATATCTCGATATATCTTGGTATCTTGTCACTGTATAACATGTAAATGTACTATAGATGTAGGGCTGGTGAATACGGTAGCAAAGGACGTTCATGCATACATGTATTCTATAAAATCGAAGTTTCTGTACTCTCATGTAGGCTTATAGTATTCTACTTCAGGATAGATATGAATATTTTGTCGTATTGTGGTATAATAGAGGTTTAATAATTATCTTCAATGATCCTCACTTTCTTTTTGCAACATGTTCAGTTACCAACATCTTCATTTGATAATAATGATTTTAATTTATTCCTCTATGTCACTTTATCTCAGAGTCTCGTTCTATGGCATAATTGAAATGTTCTTTAGCTCCAAGATCTAACGGCATTATAAATTATGATCTCAAATAGTTGATTAAGCCATTCTTAAAATGTTATTTTTGTCATTAAGTTTTTAATAACCAAGATTTTAGTCCAAAATCAAATAAACACATGAGCTGTCTATAGTAACTACACCTCAAGGAAAATCTATTTAGAATAGCTATATATCAACTTCAATTCTCACAATTTGTCCTTGTTTTCACGAAGTGACGGTAGTGAGGAAAATTTACACGCAAAGTGAATGCAATTTTTTTTCACTACCGTCACTTCGTGAAAACAGCGACGAATTAGTTCAGTCAGAAAGCTATACATTTACCTTCAGGTTCAAAAACACTGAGACAAGAACTTACTGAAAATTTCTAGTTGTCAGATAAACTCCCTCTAAACATATATCCAAAAGGCCAGGTTTAATATATGTTTTATGTTGCTATGGTATGAAAGACAGGCATCATAATTCTCCACAAAGCATGTCGACAGAATAGCTAGGTCAAGTGTTCTTTTGAGGAATTTGTATTTGCAGTAAATACACTATGATATGAACTTGGAGGTCAGCCCCCATAAGGCCCATATGGCAAGGATCACGATTATCATCTTTGTGGGGGCCCTTTACAGGGGGCCATCATCTCATCAACTAGCTCACATCAATGTGACATGACCTATAACATATTGGTGGTATCCCTGGATACAAGATGCTTAACATCATGTACTCTCATCTTATTAGTGAGTCACCATGTAAGCAAGTGAACATTGCTGTGCTCTTTGACATAACATTAAATTCAACCTGCAAGGAGTAATTTATATACAATATTCATGTACATGTACCGGTACATGTATATGTATGTACACGTACATGTACACGTACATGTAGGCCTGCATGTCCTTCGCAGGCCAAGATTATTTAACAGCCATTAAATATCACGATTTATTTCTTATTAATTTAAAAGACTCTCGATGGGGAATTTTCATATAAAGTATCAACCATTTTCTCTTGAACTAGCAGGAGGTCACCTCATATCTCAAATACATATTCATGCCTAAGATGATGCACCCACTCGCCCATATCACTTTCCTACTGGTAGCGTTCTGCAACATCGGTTTCTATTTTTTCATCAATAATTTACTACACCTAGACACGAGGCTGTTACTGGCTGTAAGATTTCACACTTTAAATTGATATGATATATAGCTGATCTAATTTCATATAATTTTTAAGGGATACAAAAATTAGTCTATCATTAGAAACAATTTTGTTTTCTTTTTTTTCTGTTTATCATCTACCAAGGCATTCTAAGGCTCAATCGTCAAAAGGACAAACTAATGATATGTATACAGTGCATATACTGTAGATAAAATTGTAACAACAACGCATAAAACTAAATGAATATAAATTTTTGTAAATACTAAAAATTGAATGAGATGATGTTGTCAAACCACTGTAAGCGAAAAAACCACATGCATGCACTATATACACAGATTCTGACCTTTCTGTTATTTCATTTAAATAGAGGTTGAAACTCTAGATGGGTTTGGAATCACACTAACACTGTCAAGACCAATCACATTCCATACATTTTGATGTTCCCCTCTTCAGGCCCTTCAGCTATGACTATTCAAACATCACTTATATTCAAAGTTCTATATTATATATGTTTTTAAAAAATCTTTTACACAAGTGTGTTATGAAAAGTTTCCAAATAAACAAGTATCATATTACAAGCAGATATTATATATCATCTAAGTAGATCATTGTTATTTGATTGGAGGATTGTTGGTCACATGATATTCAATAAATAATTTATTGAATGACTATGTCATTGAGCGTGCATTTTTGGTTAGACAGTATGCGACTCGTATTTTGGGTAATATATTTTTTGATATTTTATT